TGTATCCAGAAGTTTCTGGATATTGCAAGACAGACAGAATGCTTTTTTCTACAAAAAAGATTGCAGTTGTCTGTTCAGAAACCTGAGCAAGTTATCAAAGAGGTACAAATTCAATTTTTCCTCAACTTTTAGGAAGAACACTTTGTCTTATGGTCCATCTATGCTTTAATGTGAAATACACCTGTGAATTGTATTTTATAGATCAATATGAAATGGTGCTGGTTGTCACCATTTATGACATCCTGGACAGAAAGGGCTACCAGGAGTAGGAGTGGAGAGCAGATCTTTAGAGTAACTCTGCCTACTTCTTTCACACACTGGCTTTCACAGTAAATTTTTCTTCCTTTTTTTTTTTCAGTAAATGTTTTCTTAAAGAGAAAGTTCTGCCTTGTGAAAAGCCATTAATATAGATAGAGACCCACTTTGGACAGGCACTGTGAACATTTGTCTTGTCCTATGCCTCACACATAGAACCAAAAAGTAAATGATCTGCAGAGTTCTTTAAAACTTAGGATTTTGGTGGGTCTTAGTGATTCTAGACTGGGGCATTTGGAAATACGTTGGGGTTGCCACAAAGACTAGGAAGCTTTAATGTCAATGAATGATCCGACCAGGACCTGTCTCCTCATTGTGAAGGATTGAGGAATCCTCCTACCCTAACTCGGCCCTTGGTGCTCCCAGTGAGAAACACTAAAATGAAGTTATCAGGTTTTGATAGTTTTAAAAAAGTATCTCCTAGAAGCTGACCAGTTAATCAGAAAGGTTCTTTTTTGTTACGATACTAGCTGTTGAGAGGGAGAATTATAAGATGAGGACATTCTTAATAGTCTATTGTGCTAACTTGTTTCCTGATAAAAATACTTGAATAACAATGAAGGTGTGGTTAAGTCTAGGTCTTAATAAAAGATTTAATGCTGGTGTTTGTAAAAATCTCTTGAATCTGCAATTTTAATATTTTGTAATCTGAAATTACAGACAGTGGTATGGATTCTTTTTTGTGGTACTGGGGATTACTGAGCTATATTCCCTGCCTCCTTGCTCCCCACCTTTTTTTTTTTTTTTTTTTTTTTTAAGATTGAGACAGGGTCTTGCTAAGTTGCCCAGTAGACCTCTAACTTGTGATCTTCCTGTCTCAACCTCCCTGGTAGCTGGGTTTATAGATGTGCACCACAGCACCTGGTTTGATGGGGATTCCTACAAGCAATTGCTGATGTGTTTGTCATCCTTAATATTTTCTAATCKCAGCTGTAGTCTTTGGACAGGGAGGGCTGCTAGATGGCTGGGAAACAGGATGAGAAAGTATTCGATTTTTTGTTTTTATAGTAGCCCTGGGTTGCTTTTTAAATTTTATGACTTTTGTTACTTAACAAGATGATTAAAAATAAAAGCTCTGGTTATTAGGTGGTCAGCTTCACTGGAAGAGTTACTTTAGATTAGTCAAACTGTGGAGTCAAGTAGAGGAATGAGCTGATATGGTTTAATGGTTTTGAATTTGCTTCCTGGTGCTCCTCAYTAATCAGGAACTTTATTATTTCCCCTGCATTTCCTCTGACTTACTCCATCCCTTTCATCTGTAGGACGTCTCAGAACTAAGGAATGAGTTGCAGCGGAAAGATGCGCTGGTGCAGAAGCACTTGACAAAGCTGAGGCATTGGCAGCAGGTGCTGGAGGACATCAATGTGCAGCACAAAAAGCCGGCCGAGGTCCCTCAGGGCTCCTTGGCCTACCTGGAGCAGGCATCTGCCAACATCCCTGCGCCTAT